AACAATAATTATAAGACTAAGCTCTCTTGGTTGCATTGATAATAAGAGTCAAGTTCTTACTCAGAAGGACGTTAAATCTGATACGAATGTAATGAGTTACGTTCCTAAATTGAAATGGGACAAGAACGGAAATTTATATTTGAAATGATAAACAAGCCGATAGTTTCTCTGATGGTAAGTGGCTACTGCAGCACGTAGATAAACGCCGACGATCCGTTTCGTGTGAAAAAGACTACAGATATATTGTCACAGCTATAGACTAGGATGAAATGCTTCTCTTGGATATAATAGTAGGTGTGATGTAAATCTGCTAGAATATAGAAAAAGATTTATGGGTTCAATTCAGACGGACTCCTGGTCAGTAAAGTAGCCCTGAAGACCCGTGACCTCTCATGGGCATAAAAAGAATAGGTCCTAAGATTCTGTTGCTTTTATCCACGTAACAGATGGCAAGCGTTTGATAATGAGATTGTTAGTCCATCAAACAAAAGTGAAGGCAAACCCTCCAAGCATATTATGTTAAATGATATTATACTACCTAAACTAAAGTATTGTATGAAAGATTTGCTAGAATTGTGAATAATAAACAGCTGAAGAATAATATTACAGCATGCTAAGCTCCTAAAATACAGCCCAAAAATTATATTCTCCACAATTTAAAATAAGTCATTAACTAACGTCGACACAAATCTTAATATACACAACAATCGTACCCATAAATATTCTGTGTGCCCACCGTAATCGTGCTCTTACAATTCAACGAAATGTAGTTTGTACTTTGAAAGTGTGGATTAAAATATAGTAACTGCCATATTGTTCTACATTACACTCCTATAAAGGCAAGCCATACATATGACGATTTCAAACTATTTTCTATTCGTAATAATCTCTTGGCTACGAAGTTAAAAATCTCCTCTAGTATTAAATTACGTATAGTAGCTTGGGCATAAAACAAGCATTTACAATAAGAAACGTTATCTTTACGTGATTATAACGAACAAACGTAAAATGATAATAATTGATGCAGTTAATCAGGTTTTTAAGTGTTATGTGTATTTTTAACAGCTAAAAAATATCAATGACCATTCCATGAAAACTATTACGAGATTCAATGTCACCCAGAGCCGTAATATAAGATAACAATTCGGTCAGAGGTAATAATACCAATGTTTTGTAAAAGCACCATTGCAATCTTTTGTATCGCAATGTTTATGCTGTTATAGTATTAAAAAAAAAACATAGGAACGTACATTTGAAGTTTTTGGAATTGATTTTATTAATTGATATTAGGTACAATCAGCTTGAAATAATAAGTTGAAGCTGACTTTTTTTAAATTGCCATATAAAAGTTATCCACCAAACAAATTATAATATGGCTGAATATAAAAGTGAAACAATTGGACTATTTTATTCTGTGACTTTTAATTTGTTGATTTTGTATTTTATTCCTATAAATATATTTTATAGCAAAATCGGCTCTTAACACAATATATGGAAACAATGTTACGCACTTGTACTTTTAAATGGGAAGGAGCTGAACCTTGTTGAATTCCCTTTTTTTTCGAAATAACTGTTAACGCGAAATTACAGTAAGATATTATATATAAACTAACTAGCTAACTAACAGACTTACTTCTGCAGTATATTGTGATGTAAACATTTTAGAAATCTTACTTGTGTTGAAACAGCTAAATTCATTTATTTCAGTTAGTTCCATAGCATGTCGTGTGTAATTTTGCTCTGCGGGAACGCGTCTGACATGAATGTGAAACTGTCTTTGTTTTATAGAAGATAGTTAAAAGCAACTTTTATCCAGAGCCCTCCTCATAGGAAAAGTTTTAAATAAATAAATATATTAAATTTGGCCTCTCAGTATATTTACTAAAATTGATTGTAATAATTACTATATAATTATTATATATACAAAAAGAAAAACAATTGTGTTATAATAGTGATGTACATTGGTAAATACCATAAACCGCCATCAATGAGTCAGTAATTCATGGGGAAAAGTAAAGTACGCTTTTACAAAGTCCCAAAAAATATACAATATTTTAATTTGTGATGTTTATCAAAAGTTTATACCTACAAGTATTTTTCATAGAACAAAAGCTGTATAAAGAGTTATTTTAAATGTAAAGGAATACGTGATTATTAATAACCCTTTGATAATAAGGTGATCGCTACCATTCTTTTCCTTAATGTTTTAAATCGTACATTATTGTTAATAAAACGTTCGCTAGATTTCTTTCTGATTCTTCCCAAGACAGTGGCTTTTTTCCGAACCAGCGGCTTTTTTCCGAACCAGTGGTAGAAGTGTATATTTAATATTATTTTCAATATGTATTACTTGTAGTCTGTTGCATAATGTAAATATAATAATGTTGCATAAAAAATATTATTTTCTATTTTACTTTATACAAAGCAGCACTTCGCAATCTTCTACAAAGATTTTTGTTTAAAATTTGTCTTACATTCTTTTATTCAAATTTTAATAAAACGGCGTATAAAATAAGAAAGCAGCAACAGCATCATATATTATATAGGTAATTGCCTTACATTTAATACAATTGCGTATTTGACACTAGTAAATTAGAAACTTTTTGAGAACTTTTAAAACAAAAATCTTAATTAGATTTTTAATATTTATTAATGTAGGTATACATAAGATGATTTTTTGACTATAGAAACCATGAAATTAGACTATATTTTCGTACAATTTCTATATAAATGTGTTTTGCCAACCTTCAAAAAGTTTCCAATTTACTAGTGTAAAATTCTCAAATATAAATTCAAACTAATGTCAACCAACTACCCAATTTTAGACCTAAGGCAAAATTATTGATTGAGAATTTAATAATTTTTTACTTCATCTTCATCATCATTATCATACAGCCCTTCACAAGTCCACTACTGAACATAGGCCTACCCCAAGGAATGCCACAAAGCACGGTCCTGAGCCACCTGCATCCATCGACTTCCTGCATGTCTTACCAGGTCGTCACTCCATCTAGTGGGTAACTTTTTACTTACATAATGCTAATTTAAATAACAATTGTTAGGATATTGTTCGTTTAAAACACGTAAAGATGTAACAAGTACCATCGCAAAGCAATAATTTTTCTCTTTTTAATCCTACGGCGTAAATAATTTTCTTATTAAATTATCGACGTACCTACTCCAGACCTCTCATCACTTTACAAAAATAGACCACGATATATATTGAAAGCGATATATTATTAATACCGCAAAATACTTCATATCTTAAGAAGGAGGTAATTGTACTTTCAATTTATTATATAAGACAGTGAAAGTTAACGATATAGCTTCGATGCTTGCGATGAAATTCAACGCAACTGGAACGATAAAAAAAATACAATCGACATATGTTTTTATAATATCTAATATATAACAAATAGCAAGACATAATAATGTATCTACAATAACTTCTAGGCTTTATACATTATTACTTAATAAACAATAAACAGCAGGTTGAAATGAAATGTTAAATTTATAGCACATAATAATGTCTACGATGTACATATATTTTAACAGTGCCAAACAATACAGAGTTGGTCAATTTCGACATAATAAAATAATCAAATTTAATCTACTTTGCTGGTGTGTATAAACTGTTATTTATTGTTTTATTTATTGTTTGCATTTGGAATAAGAGTATTGTATAAAAATTCAGTTAGAACTCTCATTAAGTTTATATTTTAATACGTAATATAAACACTTTGTGATTGCTTTACTGTGAACGAATGTTTTGTTCGGTGGTTTTCATGGAATAATATATTATGATTTTATAATCATTTATTTCTGATCAAATTAAAACCTTTTCATTATAACAATTACAAAATTATTAAAATGAAAAAGTAACACTAACAATGTATTTTACACAATACAAATTTATGTTATGGGTTTTCAAACTTTTCTAACGATTAAAATTAAGTTCACATTTTATGTAAACGTCGTTGACATCGAAGCAATATCGAAACGTAATTATCAATATAACTTTACGACAAATGGAAACAAGATTGTACTAATGATTCTGCAGCGATTAAATAGTAAAGAAAGTCACTAAGTATTTGTATACTTTGTTTTTCATTAACATAAAATAATTAAAGTTGACGATACTTTTACTCGTCGATGTTTTTATTTTTATTTTCTGCCTCCATAATAATAAGACTCATCTATCATTACTATCAATATGTTAAAAGAAAATAACCACCAAAAACAACAATTTAAAAAAAATAACATAATGATGATTATTGTTGTACATAAAATTACAGGATTGTTTGGCAAATTTTGATTATGGAAATATATTTGTGTTAAAACGATCTTGGGAAATACATTGTCACAAATAAATGGTATTGTTTTAATAAGTATTCAAAAGTAATTACACCGAAGTGAAAACACAAACTTTTCGTTGCAGACACTGCAGAATACAACAATCTTGCTTTCTTAAAACAAAACGAAGTACACAAAAAAAAATCAACAGGTCGAATTCACAAATAAATGTTAATACGACGAGAATGTAGAACGTAATTAAAATATCCATCAAAATAAAAACATTACAATAACCATAAAATATTAAATATAAGGATTATCACAATGCCTTTTCTATTTTCAGCGTACAAACAAAAATATCAATACAAATTTAACAAAAAAATCATTTAACAATGCGAAGAAACCGTTTCATTTGAAACGATCAAACAAATATGATAATCTCTTATGTACATGTTATTATTATATCAAATTCATTAGGTACATCTCAATCATATAATATAAACCTTTTAATAACTAATATACAAACAATGTTATTATACATCGAATGACAAAAATAATTCAGAATTCTTTGATATGTAACATTATGTACAAGTAAAGATAAAAATACGTATTATAAACTATTTAGACATACCATAATAAATAATTGTCATTTAATGTAAAGCGGAATATACAAATTATTAATGCTAACACTCGATTTGACTCAAGTACTAATTGAATGTAGTCCAACCCTTAGGTACGCTAGAGGTAGCCTCAGGCCTCACATTCGAGGCACTAGTAAATTCCGGCATGCCAAACTGACTAAAATCTAATCCGTATTCATGCAAAAGAGCACTGTCCGTAGACGATTTGATTTGTTCAACTTTCTCTTTTTTATCACTATATTTGAGTGGATCGAAATCTTCGAGGTTTGTAGGTGAATCGTCCAGTTTAATCAGATCCGACACTGAGCCACAAGACTGGAAAAAAAAATACGAAAGTTAAAAACAGCGATACATCTCTGTTTCCACAACTACTATTACAAAAGCCGTGGGGCAATGTCGGTTATACTTTGCAAAAATTTCGAACGTTCACCGCACTCTATACAATACACCCTTTTTAACTCCATAAATCTTTTTGACCCTTTGCCGCCTAAAACTAAAACTATAGTGTCATTTTACGTATTCTTAATTAATATGTTTGTTCAAACTGACTATGCTATATCTATATAAACCAAATCGGTCAAGTAGACATAATTGTTCCCTTACGTTGAGTTGCTCTCTTGCTTCCTTTATAAACTTAGCCGTATATCTGGCTGCTAAGTCGCTTTCGAATTCCGGCGGGTGTTTTTGTGATATGTATTTGTATGACCTCTTTTTTTGTCTTTGATGACATAGAAACATGAAACCTAGTTCATCGAAGGCTGATATGAAGGTGATAACGTGTGCTTGATATATTTTAACACCATTTCTTCTTTATCATCTCGTAGAAGTCGACTGCTTATCATGGGTCTCTCATTGTAGGAAGGATTTGTCCTAATCGTCCAGATTGGTTGGCAGACTGACGATCGCAGTGCAGATGCAGACGACTCGTACCTTTGTCGCTGCTATCTAGTCGCAGGTTATTATTTTTAATTTTAAGGCTTATCCCATAGCCGCTTCTTACAGCACTCACGAGACAAAATGGGGTGCTAGATTCTTACTTTTTTATAGGATGAGGATGACAAGCAAGCACACAGTCCAATGGTAAGTGGTTGCGGTGGTCCATAGACATCTATATCTATCCTCGTTTGCGAATCAAAATGCAGATGCGTTGTCACTCCTGAGGGCCTTGATTCCAGTAAAAGGGGTCTCCGGTTCCCTACACTCACCATACGAAACACAGCAACATTAAACCGCTATTTTACGCTGGTATTATGTGAGAGCCTGTTAATTTCCTGGTCGGGCCGACCCATTCGTGCTACAACTATACAATTAATATAACTGCAGCATGGCTCTACCGCGTATAAAATGGCCTACACTTACAAGCACAGTAATAGTGCAAAAATAACAATGTTTCTGTTATCGGAAAGTAAAGTAATGATATGGGAGAACATCATATTACATGCAAATTTTATTGATTAAATTAAACATATTTTAGATGTATAATCATATGTTTTGACGTAAAAATAAATTAATAAAGCAGTCTTAAATATAATAATTCATTGTTACATATAATATGTTTTAAATTCAATCACTCGAAGCTTGAATAATTTACTCTTTCACCAAAACATATGTGCAGATATTTTAGAAGCATGCAGGTACAAATTACAAAAGAGGCAAAATTCACATAATGAATCACATGAACGATAAATATACAGGTGCCAGTGCATTTATAAAGCTCATTATTGTGCTAATGCTACATCTAGTGGTTCTAAATCGAGGCTATATAATAACATTATTGAAAAGGAACTATGCGTAGACTCTTTTAAATACACTATAGTAAAATCCATCTGCAACAGCGTATGATATTAATATTTCATACACAAAAGACTCAACGTCAGTACCTAACGCGCCTAACATCACTTGTACACAAGAAGACAATTATCGCTTAGAACCTTGCAAACACTAAACAATAGTTACGTAAGAATAAATATTAGTAACATCTTGCTTGACGCAAACTTGTTGTAGATATGACAGAGTAGAACGAAGAAACATTTAACAGTTTAGAGAGCAAATACGCAATTTGTCGTTTAAAATTGAAATATATATAGAACTTGAAATTTAAAAATTCTCGAAAAATAAAATAAACAAAAAGGCATGGATAATAAAGGTAACAATTTAATAATTAGTGCAAGTAACAAGTGTCAAACGATAAGCAGTTTTTGGTATCGATGGTAACAGTAGAATTAAGAAACAAAAGTATCTAACACTGAATACCTAATTTTTTTGCAAGATTACTTGAGGTATAAAATTTTAATTACATGGTTACAGGGGGTAATCAATTTTTAGGTTTCGATCAATGTTATATTAAAAAAATTCTAAAATATTACAGAAACGAAGCTGCCTTATTACTCTTTTCTGTGTTATTGCATTTTTAATACATTATTTTGACAATCACTCATACAATTTTTCCTTTACGATTCTCATAAAGCCAGTGTTCCACTGGTAAGTATCTTGTAATTGTGTGCGTTAGTTTTACTATGATGTTATTGTGGAAAATGTATCTTCAGTGTTTAAATATTTTAAAATATGCATCATGATTGACAACATCATGATATTACCCACAGTTCGCTTATTTTATGCCACATGTTAACCTTGTAAATACAGTTTATTGAAATATATTGTTAATTTAAAATTTAACACAAAACATTTTAAATCGGAAAATTCCACCGCTGTGCACAAAAGCTTCTCAGATGTCTGGTTTAAGAACATGCTATCGATTTTTATATTGCCTTACTATGTCCCATCACCGCCAAGAACCAGCTAAATCAACACTTAAAAAATACTATGAACAATTTAATTGGTGCTGGCGAGAATCAAACTCTGGTTGCCCGCTTTCTATATTTAAACTAAGCTGTCACTTTTCTGCCAAACTACTATCATTGATTCGAATTACAAATAAACATTTACAAGACAACTACTGAGTATTAATACGTGCTGATATTCGCATTGAGTCACCTTCGTGAGTCAATTGCCTGAGACAAGCATTAAATTACATTGGCAAACTATATTTATTGCAACTGAAGACAGTCAATAACGTATCATCGAACACGGATCATGTTCGAATAACGTTTCAAACGCAAATGTTAACGATTGTTCTTTTTTTTTTTGTAAAATCGGCAAAGGTGGTAGCAATCTCATTTTTGGTTTATTTGTGTCGTGCAATTGTTTATATTAATTATTTTAAAAACGATAGTGGTAGCGATCACCTCAACTATGGGTTTTTATATAAACTGAAGATATTCCTTTTTTATAGTCATATCAACTTAAGTAATGTTTTACTACTTGTACTATTATTTATTCTCATTCTGTGATTGTATGAAGAATGAACAAATAAAATAGTGTTACGATCAGAGAAAAACTGAGTGCATATATAATATGATGATGTTCATAATAGTTTTTAATCCAAATATTTTAAAGTAATTTTACACAAAGGTAGTTCACTACAATGTATGTATATACTGCAACAAATAATTATGTAAGATAAATCATCTAGATTATTATTTTCTTGTATACATTCTTCAACTTCCATTTGTTGCTGTATTCTTTTAATTGAGATTGGTAAAGTCGGATTCTTGGGTTTTATCGACGCTAAAACTATTAATTAAGGTATGGTTTAATTAAAAGATCCACTATTGTGTTGAAGTAGCAGTATTGCATTACAATGGAGTTTAACACGTGAATGAATAGGAAAATGAAGAAGAAATAGAAACACTAATAAAAACGCAAACAAAACTTTGAATATTATTACAAATGTTCAGTTGTGAGGCAATCACAAAAACAAAATTAATATAGTTTTATATATGTAAAAAGCGCTATTTTAACGATCTAGCTCTATGCCCAGAGTACCACATTACTGCGCCGCGTGTACTAGGTTTAAATTCAAATCTAACCTATAACAATTTGCTAGTTTCCGGGTATAAGATTTGTTTTAAATTTAATCCAATTTTATCGAACACTTTTATATACCATATTTTTGTTTGTATTTATACTTTATTGATAATTTTGTTTTAACTGTGATAATTTCTTGTTTAAATTATATGTAAGTAGAAAGTAATCGTCCCACAATAGTTACATACATAAACCGATATTAGATTAAATCAAATTAGCCAAATCTTAATCACAACTTTCATCTGTGTACCTAACCCTGATTGAAGTCCTCTACTTCTTCTCTGTTACTATCTATCATTCTATCACACTTTACCAGGCACACAGGTTCTGAGTCAGCTTACATCCATCGTCTCTATGCATGCTTTCATGACTACACTACACTCTTCATCTAGTGATCGGTCGAACACCACTACTGTCATGCTTGCTGGTATGTAGCGGTACTTCGAGACCAGCCTAATATACCTTTTACCTCACCAAAGCATAAAACTATCTTTTGATTGTATTATGTTATGTTTTTGTTCACAGTGTATTATTATTCCGATGAAATCCCGGACGTCAGTCTGAGCGAGATAAGAATGGCTCTCAAGCACCTTAAAAACGGCAAGGCCCCGGACGAGGATGAAATTACAACGGTGCTTCTAAGCGGGTGGAAAAGCGGCCCTTCTCCGGAAGCAAGAAGCAGAAGTGCGGTTGTCTAGTTCTCAATAAAGGCAACAACACAGATAAATCTTAAGATTAATATAGTAGACAACACAAAGGTCATGTGTAACGTCCATGTCACACCTATGTCAGTAGCTATACGCTCAAAGTTCCCTCAGCGAGCTATGGAGAGGACTATGCTTGGAGTTTCTCTGCGTGATAAACTTAGAAATGATAACGGGACCAGACTGGGAACCGTAATAGAACCAGAGTAACCGACATAGCCCAAGGGATTAGTAAGCTGAAGTGGCACTGGGTCGGCCATATAGCTCGAAGAACTCACAACCGAGGGGAAAGAAATGTTCTCGAGTGGCAACCTCGTATCGGTAAGCAAAGTGTAATCCCCCCACAAAACGTTGTGAAACCTGATCGTCGATGTCGTCGATGGACCGTTCTTAGTGGCATTACTTGAGGGAGGTCTATGTTCAGCAGTGAACCTGTAAAGGGATGTAATGATGATGATGGTGATTAATTGAACCAATTTACAAAGGCGAATGGGATTTTCGGGCCTGAAGTTAACTAATTGGTTTATACTTTAAAAAATTGGCCATATTTTTATAAAGTAAAATACAAGAAAGTATCGTAAATTAATCGATCACAGAAAGATATGCCTAATATTCACTTCACTTAGTTGCTGTTGTTGTAACTTTCGTTAATCGTTTCACTATTTCGTTTCATTATTACGATGT